GGAAGCGATCGGCAAATACTACGAGGAAAACATCGCCAATAATAGCAAACAAACGGACGTTAACTTAACATAAAGTTTGATTCATTAGAGTTTAATTTATTCATAAGAAACCAGTTTTAATTATAGATTTTTTTGTACTATTCATAGGATATTTATAAATAATATTTTTATTAATGTTTGAAAGTATTATAAATGATATTAGTTTCTGTTGCCATAAGTTGCCAAACCTTTGCGTATGAGTTGTTTCTGTAATTAAGACGTTATAGGATTTTGTCGTTTTTGAAAAAGTGAATAATTTGCTATGAATTTAATTATGAGTTTTCCTGTTGTTTGTCACAAAATTAGAAATTGAATTGTATTTTGAAATACTGTATGGTTTTTGAGGAAAATATTGAAATACTTGTTAATGAATATTGATTGTATTTTCCAAAATAGATGACATTTTCATGCAATCAATAACTTTAAATAAAACATAAAAAGCAGTTTACATTGACTCAACTTATTCCTAATGTTTTTGTCACCAATTCACTCATAGACAAAATCGGTGGTCAGGTATACTATAATTATATTCTAAATTTACCGGTAATTGATTACATGTTAAAATAACTAATCAATATGATTTAAAATCTAATTTTTATTCATTAAATTAACCCAAACTAATACTAGTTTTAAAAACATTGTTCATTTCCTATCACTTGATTTGAATGAAACAAATTCCGTAAACATTTTAATTCAATAATTTATTCTTGAATTTAATACCCATTAGTATTCAAATGGAAACCAAATAAAACAAACAAAAACTTTACTCTAAAATCTAAACCTAAAAATAATTTCCATTACAATCAATCGTTTATTAATACATTCATCGGTGGTCTGACATTATCTCATATTTTAGCGGCCATTCTGATGGCCACACCTAAGCCCACGTCCGTGTAGTTGAAGTAGAAAAGGCCGGCCAGTGCTGCGATGGACAGCATGTATACGTAGGCGACCATCAACTTCGCGACGACTGACCCGAAAATGGAGGGCCGGATGTAGTCGACGACAATGGCCTCCAGACCCCAGTGGACGTGAATGACCAGCGAT